AGAATGGCCTAACATTTACCAAAGGGAAAGAGACTGGGGAGGGTGGGTAGGGAGGTGGGGAGAAGGGGAATAAGGGGCATTATGATTAGCAGACATAATGTAGGGGGGGCACAGGGAAGGCAGTACAGCACAGAGAAAACAAGTAGTGACTCTATAGCATCTTACTACGCTGATGGACAGTGACTGTAATGGGGTGTGTGGTGGGGACTTGATGACTGGGGGAGTCTAGTAACCATAATGTTGCTCATGTGATTGTATATTAATGATACCATAATTTAAAAAAAGGAAAAAAAAGAAAACAACAACAAAAATATTAGGCTAAGTAAAAGAAGCCTGATAGAGAAGACCACGTGTTGTACAATTTCACTTATATGAAATGTCAAGAAAATGCAAATCTACAGAGACAGTGTGTTAGTGGTCACCTTGAGCTGGGGATTGAGTGCAAATGGGCATGAGTTTTCTTTTTGTGGTTATGAAATGATTCAAAACAATATTGTGGTGATAGCTGCATAACCATGTAGATAAATTATAATCATGGAAATGTATGCTTAAAATGGGTGAATTTTATAGTATGTGAATTATATGCAATAAAACTTAAACTATTATAAAAAAAGAACAGCAAACGTGTATACATGTGTGGGTATGTGTATGCATGCACATATCTGCCTGTTTATATTTGTGTATATGCATACATCTGTATATATGGATATGTATATATATATATATATGTCTGTGTATATGTGTATGTATATGCATGCACCTATGTGTATATGTACATGTGTATATACATGTGTGTATATGTGTATATGTTCTGTCTGTGTATATACATGTGCAGAGTGCATGTGCATGCATGCACCCATGCATATGTGTGCAAGTGTGCATGCACATGTATGTGTAAACATGCACAATGTGTGTGCACACATGGGTGTGCATTGTGTATATGTTTATGTGCAATATATGTGCATAATGTATATGCATGTATGTGTGTCTATATGGATTATATGTACATATATATGCACACCTGTATGTTCTGTGTGTATATTTGCAACATGCATGTGCACAGATGTGTAACATGCACACACATGCGTGTATGTGTCACATACATGGACATGCCAGCATGTGTGCATGTATACATGTGTACACATATATGGATACATTTTGGTACAGCAGTGTCACATGCTCCACTTGTCACCTTGCACATGGCTTTTTTCGTGGACAAGCAGCCGAGAGACTCCCCCAGATCTGCATGTAAGGAGCCTCCTTGCCGCTCCTGTGACCCCCATGCTCTGCCCACGGCCAACCCCACATTCACACCACCAGCCCCCTATTGACGGAAACTCTATTAGAGTCACTGTATCGTTGCAAATCACTACCAGTAATACAGGATCTTGTTTGAGGCAATTGTTTTAAAGGCATATTTCATGGTGTGTTGTTTGAGGATCGAGTGCCCAGTAAAATGGGTTGAGATTTATATGAAAATTATCTTCATATTTGGTCAGGATGCTTGCATTTGAGATTTCAGAGAAAACGGAATGTTAAATAATTTTGAGGATTTGTTTCCAGACGAGGGAGGAAGAAATAAGAGAAACCGCAAAGTTCCACGTCTGCTTTGCAAATTGTGAACGTTGGGTGTTCAGCTGTACATTATTCTCCCCAAACAGGAAACTCCCCAACAGGCCTGCCAATGCCTTACGTCCTCCCCTTGATGCTGACTTTCGAAGGGTTGGGGCATCTTGCTTGCCTGTACTGAGAATGTTGATAAGACTTCCTTTAACTTGCATCGCATCAGCGCATAAAGCGGTTGGCCCGCGGAACATCTGCCACCCGCTCTCCTCCTGGCTGTGCCGGCAGCTGCTTTTTTCTTTATGCATCTGTGTTTTTGCAAATTCCCGCTACACTAAACAGTATATGAAGGTTCACACCTGAGACTACATAATGGTCAAGAACACCATGTAGTCAAGTGTTCCAGCAAGAGACGGTTCCCCCAGACCCTGACCCCATGTCCACACCCTCCACGCTCCCCGGAGATTAGGTCTTTGTGGGGAAAATGAATTTTTCCTGCTTGAAATCTGGGAATGATGGTCACATGGCTCTTAGCTGACACCCCCCGGGTCTTGTGAAGCTGTGTCCAGCCCATCTCAATGTGGGAGTGGCTCATACTCCCCTTAAGGTGAAGGCAGCATGGCTGGCCAGCCCTGTGCATGCAGGGCCACTGCCTCCCCCATCCCTGGTTAGGCCCTCAATGGCCAGCATGGTGGGGGTGGGGGGCGCTTTGCACAACACCCCTGGTCACCAGGCAGACCTGGCCAGCCCCCAAGGCCACCTTCCTGGAAAGGACAAGGGTGTTTGGTTTGTGTCTATCCTACAGATAAGGATGGAAGGTACCTGGGCGGAGGGAGAGGTGGGGCCAGGGTTCTGGAAGGGACCGGAGTCAGGGCGCAGGTCCTCAGGCCTGGCCATGCCTCCTCACATCTGCCTGCCTTGCCCCATCCCAGGTGGCAGCGTCCTTGTAATCGGAAGCCTGCTGGACGTGGATGCATGGGGGCCCCCCACCACACAGCTGTACTAGCTCAACATGCTGGTGCACATGGGGGGCTGGGAGAGGATGTTCGCCCAGTTTCCCTCCTTCCTGGCATCCGCAGGCTTCTGGGACCCCCAGAGCAGGAGCCCCCCGGGCATCTATGGGATCATCCTGGCCAGGAAGTAAGCCCGCTGTGGCTGCAGCTCCCACCCAGGCACGAAGAGGTGGTCATGCTGATGCTTCTTGGTTTGGGCACCCAGCCGGTGGCTTGGGGTGTTTGCTGGCCATTACCTCCTGCCTGTCACCTGGTGGACTTTGTCCTGTGTAACGTGCATGCAACCCGTGATGTCGATGTGCATCAGGTGCAGGGCCCGCCAGGCTGCTTAAAGCCAAATCCTTCCTGGGCGCAGCCACGGCCGGGGAGGGGAGGCGGCAGGTTGACATGCGCCAGGGTCACTCAGCCTCGCACGCTTGTCTGAGATGCCGCCACTGCATGTGCTGGGGTGGACGTTTGTTTTCGCAGCCACAGTGTGGCAGGTAGACCTGTACATAAATGCAGAAGCCACAGGAGGGGACTCGGTGGTCTCCAAAGTCCGGTTCATCTTCAGCCCCCCACCGGACGCTCGGAACCCCTCCACACTGCTGTCCTCGCTGGGCTGAGCTTGGGTCCTGCAGACACGGGCCATGTCTCAGCCGTCTCATCATGGGGATGCGTGGGTATGTGGGGCTCCTGGCACGCAGGGTGGAGGTCGGGGATGTCACTCAGCGCCCTGCAGCGCCCAAGTTGCCCACCCCGGAGAAAAGTGGAAATTCTGCTTCACCAAAATGTGTCATTAGTAGTAAAACCATTCCCAGACCTAACGTCCTCCCCAATAAAACAAAAGGTGAACGTGGCAAATTGTATGTTATGTAGGATTTTCGGTAATTAAGACAAAAGCACCAGAAGTGCCAGCAGGTTCTCCTCGGCACAGAGGCGGTGCCACGCAGGCGGCGTGCGGGCTCTGCAGGGTGGGCAGGCGGTCACTGTGGGAGACGAATGGGACCGGGGGACAGATGGCCCTCATGTCCCGGCCGGCCGGAGTGAGCGCTGGCTGCATGCACAGGGCACCTCCGCCCTCCCCCGCAAGCCGCGGGGGGAGTTCCTGCTTCTCGACCCAGGGCAGCAGGAGGGTGGAAGGGTGGCACGTGGGCCAGTGCACCCATGTGGCCTCGGACTTCCCCCAGCACGGTGTGAGGTGGGTGCCAGGTGGGCACACCTGCAAATAGGAGCAGAGCAAGAGTGGTGGGCCAGTGTGTGTGCCAAGCAAAGTCCCCCAGGGAGCTGGCTCAGGGCCCCAAGGACAGGGCACCTGGGAGAGGGGGACGGGCCACAGCACCCGGTAACGGGTTCACAGTGCTGGGCAATGGGGACGTCTGTGAAGTCCTCCTGAAAATCTCAGCCCCGTCAGAGCACTGAAGGCAGGTGGGCCCGGCCTCCGCAGGTGGGATGGGGGTCCCGGGGGAGAGGGTGTCGCCTCCAGGAAGCCACCTCCTGTGGGAGTGACCGGGTGTGAGCCAGCTGTTGTCACAGTGGACAGCAGGGGTCGCCCTCGCCTCGCTGTCTTGCCGGCCTGCAGGTCCACCTGTGTGTCCCCAGAAATTCATGAGGATGGGGAGGGGGTGGGAGATGGTCTTTTGTAACCAAACGCTGCCGTAAAGACACCTGCTGCCCGGGCAGCCTCCCCATCCTCTCACAATGCCTATGAGTAGCCTTTTCAACCCCAAGTCGCCACGGTGACACGTCCATCTCCCCGGCCCTTCCTTTCATTTCCTTCCCCCGTAACTTGCTGTTCACCTTAGATTCTCCTCCGTCTTGGCTGTGCAGCTGCTGTCGGGACCCCCACCCAACCCTGCCCTGCGGCCCCTCGGTGTTGCGATGGTCAGATGATGTCCTGTCACCGCGGGTCCTGTGTGCCCCACCGGTGTCCCCTCCAGGATGCAGAGCAATTCCCTCACGTGGGCGCTGGGGCTCAAGGGGGGACATGTCATCGCCTTACACAGAAGGCAGCTGCCCTGGGGGGGGCACCCCATGGGACGAGACCCCGGAAAGGCCTCCCAGAGAGGACCACGGAGCGTCTCAAAGCGTCTTCCTATCTTTGAGGAGGTAGGCGGTGGAGACAGGAGCAGGGTGCTAACACCCCGTGTTACGTATGTTTATATGACGTGTTTGGGCATGATTCTATGATGCCTAACACCTGTTTCTAACACCCACATGTGGGTCTGCATGTCTCTCTCTATCTGTATTTACAACCGTGCGTGTGTGTCTCAAGTTACAAAAACGCCTCACAGAGAGAGGTGCTACGGTCACTTCTGTGTTGAGGTTTTGCTAATGCTGTGGCTTGTCTGTAAACTTATGCCACCTGTGTGTCCTAAGAACATACTGAGGTTCTTAAGCTCAGAAAGCACTTCCCCTTGGAATGATGGAATTAATAATAATAATAATTGAAGGGCTCACAGCTATAAGGTGCCTGCTCTGCCGGGCACAGTGCTCAAGCCCTCCATGTCCTGAAAGATTCGCTGTTTTCTGCGGCTTCCCTGGGCAGGTGGACTGAGGCACAGTGTGGCTGACTTCCTGGAGGGGAGTGGCAGAGCTGGGCTGTGAGTCTGGTGGTGACGGAGGTGGGGTGTGGGGTCTGACAGTCGCGTGACCCCTCCGGGCGTTGCCCAATTTCTATGTGGAAGAGAAATAAGGTGTGGCTTGTCTCCAAAGGCACACCACATTTCTCTGTTTCTCCAGGTGAAGACACCCTGGGCTCTGTGTCTGCATTTGAGTGTTGACATGTTGTGGAGTAAGCATTCCGTGGCCAAAATGGGGAATCCCAGGTTTTATCTAAACTCTACAGGACCCCAAATCGCAATATCGAATGTAAATCCATCCAAAGGACTTAAAAAATATGGAAAGAGAGACTTGAGTTCAAGTCTATGGAGCTGAGACAGAGCTGGGTTGCTTGTGAAGGGACACAGTTTAACAATGTGCAGAGTTTGGGACCCTTCAAATGGGCCTGGGTGCACATAGATGGCCAGGCAGACACACCGGGGCACACCTGGGGGGTATCAAGTCCAGCTCTTGTATAAAGTAGGTGTCAGTGGGCAACTGTTTCCCAAACCCATCTCCTCAGGCAAGCGAAACTAAAGCAAAAAAGAGTAAATGGGACTACATCAAACTAAAGAGCTGTACAGCAAAGGACACCATTAGCAGAACAAAAAGGCATCCTACAGTATGGGAGAATATATTCATAAATGACAGATCTGATAAGGGGTTAACATCCAAAATATATAAAGAATTCACATGCCTCAACACCCAAAAAGCAAATAACCCAATTAAAAAATGGGAAGAGGATCTGAACAGACACTTCTGCAAAGAAGAAATTCAGATGGCCAACAGGCACATGAAAAGATGCTCCACATCACTAATCACCAGGGAAATGCAAATTAAAACCACAGTGAGATATCACCTCACATCAGTAAGGATGGCCAGCATCGAAAAAACTAAGGACAACAAATGCTGGCAAGGATGCGGAGAAAGAGGAACCCTCCTGCACTGCTGGTGGGAGTGTAAATTAGTTCAACCATTGTGGAAAGCAGTATGGAGGTTCCTCAAAAAACTAAAAATAGAAATACCATTTGACCCAGGAATTCCAGTCCTAGGAATTTACCCAAAGAAAACAAGTTCTCAGATTCAAAAAGACATATGCATCCCTATGTTTATTGCAGCACTATTTATGGAAGCAACCTAAGTGTCCATCAGTAGATGAATGGGTAAAGAAGATGTGGTACATACATACAATGGAATATTACTCAGCCATAAAAAGAAAACAAATCCTACCATTTGCAACAACATGGATGGAGCTGGAGGGTATTATGCTCAGTGAAATTAGCCAGGCGGAGAAAGACAAGTACCAAATGATTTCACTCATCTGTGGAGCATAAGAACAAAGCAAATCTGAAGGAACAAACAGCAGCAGACCCACAAACTCCTAGAAAGAACTAGTGGTTACCAAAGAGGAGGGGTCGGGGAGGGTGGGTGGGGAGGGAGGGAGAAGGGGATTGAGGGGCATCATGATTACTACACATGGTTTAGGGGGGCACAGGGAAGACAGTGCAGCACAGAGAAGACAAGTAGTGACTCTGTGGCATCTGACTACGCTGATGGACAGTGACTGCAGTGGGGTGTGGGGCCATCGATAATATGGGTGAATGTAGTAACTGCAATGTTGCTCATGTGAAACCTTCATAAAATCGTATATCAATGATACCTTAATAAAAAAAAATAAAGTAGGTGTCAGATACATTTATCAATAACCTAAGGGAAAGAAACCAAAATCACAGTTTGGAAGAATGTAGGATTTTTTTTTTCCTTTACAATTTAAAACAAAAATTGAAGATTATCAGAAGTTAGCGCAAAGATACTAAATTTAAAAATTGCACCACTTGGAGGCAGCGTCCAGTTATCATTGGTGTATTTCTTTATTAGGCACCGGGTTAAAAAGAAAACAGAACAGTCACATTGATGTGCTACTGTTTTATTATGGTTCTCTACCTTCTGAAAATTTCCTTAAATGTGATTTATAGTCGGTTTGTCAAGACTATACTGAATCGTTTTCCCTTTTTGTAGGATATTTCTGATGTTTTGGTAATATAAATAATGCAGGGATGTCCTCATTCACTGATTCACCAATTCATTTGTTCAGGAAACTGGTTCCAAGCCAGATGCCAGGCTGGGGTACAGAGCGGGGACCTCAGGGGTGGTCGAGGGAATGGCCTGCTCATCCCACATGGATGTAACCCCCAGAAAGCTCCCCACACTGGGACCGGTTTGCTCCTGACGGGGTCAAGAAACCCTTGTGGAAAACTGACCTCCTAGTCAGATCTGAGGGGCAAAGGGTTTTGTGAAATCCCGTATCTGGACAAACATCCCCCCAGAAGGTTTCTGCGGGTCGTTTCAGAGAGTCCATTCTGCGGCATCGTCCCCCAGAAACACCTCGGCATGACAGGTGACGCGGAACGGAAAGCACTGTTTTCATTCGTCTTTCCTCCGTTCCTAGGGAAGGCGGTTCTCCATGGCACGCCTGGCCCGACGTGTGGTTTTCTTGGGGAAATTTCCCATTCACTGTCTTTGCTTTTGATCCCGACTCTTCCTTGTATCC